GGTTCATCATCATTATCATAAATGACAGATTGTTACATGCATTAATTAAATCATCTATAATTCGGGTGCATCCCTTAACGCGATAATAAAAATATACTTTATGGCATATTTTAAATCAATTACGGCCTGCTGTGCATATCAGAAGGAACTTTACAGGTGCTAAAACGTTTGTCAAAAAGCATTTTGTTCAACTTTAATCATGCAATAGAAAATTATAAGTACATTAGGCTGAACTATGAGGACCAACAGCGCTGTGACGGTTTCTTTGTACGTGTTGTGCAACTTGAGAATGTTCAAGTTATTTGCTGGTCCGCAGGAATGTGCAATCACATATATAGAGGGGATTGTTTTCTTCGTTTAGAAATATTATTTTGCTTAGATTTTACACCATACATTTCATTTCATAACCTGGAATGCCTTTCTTGTCTGAAGGCAGTAAGGAAATTTATTTTCGCGTAGAGAGCCCATTCCTTATCATTGTATAAATGGAATGCCATTTTCTTAAGAAAAGTTACATTCTCCATTTTAGTACAAGGTGCAAACGCTATAAAACTTTACATCAGGTATGAACATACGACTGTTTAAAAAAATTTTACATTCATACGGGAAAACACATAATCAACATACGCCCCGTTCATCAGCTTCCATATTGCCGTTCACAATCCGTGACACGTGCTGATAAACTTTAGGGAAGGCACGCTTCCCATACTTAACAATAGATTGGTGTTTCTTATTTGACATAATGTTATTAAAACGATGAAAAAAATTTCGCGTGTATTGAAATAAAAATTTGTACTTTGCGGTGACAAATCAGATTAAAAAATTACGAAAAGTAATGTTTAATTTACTTTTGTCTAACAAACTTTTGAGGCATTTGTTTCTTCAAAATTGGCTGTTACAAAATTTAATCGATTAAATGTTTTGTTTTGTATTATATTACTTTATCCGTTGTGACATAAATTATACTTTTTTAAACCACATTTCATCTAGCAGTTAAATCTTTTATGACAGTACTTGGCGCCACCAAAAACAGTTCGGTGTTCTACAATATTAAACTCGTATGCCAGTGAAACATCTCTGCCATCGACTTCGTTGTTTGATAGTCAGCGAAATGAGAGATGAAACGATGTCCTTTTCATTTTCCTGCACGCGAAACACCTTAGTGTTTGCGCTCCGGCGTGGAATTTGTAAGTGTGTGAGAGTGACACAATGAAAGAACAAAAATAATTACTAAAACCGATGTTTTTTTTTTCTTCTCGCCAGCTCGACTCGGGCAATCGGTCGAAGAGAGATTTATGGTTTATTTTTGGAGTCTTAAACTTGGCGAGGTGGATGATACTGAAAGTCCCCAGGCCTCCTTCAAGAGTGACAAGCTACCGTAAATAAAACTAATTATCGCTCTGGAGAAGGTCGTCAAAGAGTGGATAAGGATTTGCTTTGGCAAAGTCCGATGTGCCTCGAAGGTTGTCCTCAGTTTCGCGTTTGAAGACAATGAATGACCTGAATAAGCTGCTAAAGTGGAGTAGCCACGTTCAAATGATTTTCAGACTACTTGTGACCGCCGTCTCAAGCCCATACCCCATTTCCCCTGGCCATTAAAAAAAAAAGTTATGAAGTTTTATCTTAATGCCCCTTATATAAAGGACCGGGGAGTTGCTGCTGGTCGCGATCAGGTCGCCGTTCCCCAGTTGTACAAAGTCAGCATGACTACAAGTGTGCAGGAACGTCCTTTCGCGTTAGCAAAGGAAAGCGTGATTGTAGCAGACATACCGAGAATTCTCAAGAGAAGGCGAAATACACACCGACTACACTTCATCAATGAATGTCGGCGACGGCGTGGGATAGCATTGCCTAGGGAGGCATGCGTTTCGATTTATAGCTCATTATGTTCTTAAATTAAGTATTAGCCGTAGAGGAACTACACGAAATTTCTAGAAATGTATGTGCGTGTTTGTGTTAATTTTAACTGATGCTGAATTATGCAGCAACATTTCATTCGCATTATTTACTTTTGCGCTACTCGTTAGCACGAGCAAATTGTTTCGAGTGGAGGGTGTTTCGCGAAACTTATATCTTCGAGTAAATTAGTATCTGGCGGAAGGGGGAATAGCTTTATGCGCCCATCAACAACGCCATCGTAATTCAATTTGGTGTCCTTTGTTGTGACATTCGAATTGGCTGATGTTTTAGAAGCATAGGGTTCTGAAATTGTTTCAATTTAACGAAAGTATTGAAACAGGCGGTTTTCAAGCATTAATTTATGTTCTTTTTCTGGGCTTAGTTTTCCGACAATCTTTAAGTTATAAACACTTCAGTGTGTGGGTCTCAATACAAGTTTAGTTGGAAAACACGTTTTGCGTGATCCAGTTGTTTTTGACCTCGCGGATGAGGGAATTTACACCTGCTAAAATGTTTTCACGTCCTTGTTCATCTATTAGTTTATTCCGGCCCCGATGATGCGCCAATATTTAATTTATTTTAATAAACAAGCGCGTAAAGCTAAGCTGCTCTGACAAACCATCAGCGAAAGCAGACGACAGACACAAAAGAACCTTCTTCCAGAGCTGCTCGGCATTACTGCTATGTGGCGTAGATTTCTCTGAAGTCTCCAATAAATGACAACCGAAATTTTGGAGATCAATAAATATCAGGAAGAGTGAGAACTGAACGTTTAGCGTAAACAGTCAGACTGTATTTCAATAAAGAAATGTGCACCTTTTGTTGCCAATTTGATGTTGTTCAGAGTAGGGGGATTACATGACAAATTAAAAAAAGAAAAAAAAAACTAACACGAATTATTGCACAAAAAAACAAACAAAAAAACATTGTCATGTGCATATGAGGCGTCAAATATACATTACTATTTTATTTTTTGTGCGTTTCGTAAATTCATTGCTTGGGGGGGGGGGGGGGGGTGGGGGCCAGAGATAACAGATTTGTGCCTTGACCGAAAGCTATATTTTGTGCATCTATTTTCAGTTGAGGAACGAAGGATGATTGAGGGTCACCGAAACATATGTATTTTAACACAAAATACGTCAAATTGTATTATTTTTAGCCGTGGACCGCCTTGAAGGCGGTATATTTCGCAGATGAAATATGCACTAGAGCAGCTTAAGGTTGTTCATGACGGATATGTGTTACCTACCTAAAATGAATAAGTATGTGTGATATTTTGTTCATTTGACTGTGTCGTGGCGGTTTTGCCCCGCATACGCACTGAGCCCTCCATATCCGCGGTTTACTCGCAGATATCCGCGGATATCCGAAGTAAACGAGCGGATGCGGGTAAAAATTGGACACATTTTGGCGGATTGCGGATCGGATGCCGATGTCAGGTGCTGCAGATGCGGATATCCGCGGATCCTGATCTAAATTTTTGCCCGGTGGCATTCAGTTCGTCGACTGACGTTTCATCTACAGATCGTTTCGTCGACATGCGACGTTTGATCGGAAGGCTTCTCGTGGTCGTTTCATCGGAAAACCTCAGACGCTTCGTCGCACACAACCCTGCTATTTTTGTAACAAACCTTTCGCGTGCCGCCTGGATTACAGGGGGGAGGGGGGTACGGTTTCGTTAAGCTCGCCTTAGGGAACCGCGAGCTAGCTTTAAGCGGCTTAGTAAAGAAATGCGTTGTCAACAGAACGTCGCAGGGGCATGTGCTCACAAAACGTACAGCGTTGACGAACCGTGTGTCCATGAAATGTATGTCCATAAAAAGTTATCAACGAAACGTATTCCCACAAAACGCGTTTTGAAGAAACAATAGGGATCCTAAAAAAGATCTGATTCTCACTGGAGATCGCTTCAGTTAGAGGGTTGCCTCTCGTCAAAAATGCTATCTATAGAAAATGTAAAGATTGCAGGGCATCAATCGTCCCGAGGAAGATAGTACATTGGCAGGGAAAGAGCGGAAACTTTCTCCAGGCAATGAAAACCTTAAATATACAACTCACAAGAAAGTAGAAGAAACGTCCCCCCCTCTGCAAAGAGTAGTGTGGTCATGATTCCAAAACCGAAAGATGTGCCTCGACATCCTTTTTGTGCACTTCTTCTTGGCAGAGTGTCGCGGACTCCTAGAACGATCGCATGCGCATCCTTCGACGCGCAGTGCCTCGGGAAGGCTGGCCGCTTTTAATAAAAATACGATGAAACTCATATTGATAAAATGACATCCCCTTTGAATGGTGACCCGGAGATTTTTTTGTACAAAGATAAACAAACAGCATAAAAAGTGCCATTTGCATATTTTTTTTTTCCATTCTCGCTTGATGTTATGATATGCAATGAATGCCTTTATTGCGAGTCGGATCTGGTTCCACATTTTGCGGAGGCGGTTCGGATACGGATACAAAGTATGCGGATGCGAATCGATTGCGGATCATCAAACTGTTATCCGCGCGGTGCTCTACGATGATACGTCATGGCTCCGTCCCACGTTCTTAGCACGCTGTTCCCAGCATTGGCTTGCAGGCCTTCAAACTCAATCTCGCTACAGACAGAAGCTAATCGTTCTACGTTTTGTTATTTTTGAAGATGGTAGGATCCTACCTATCTGTGTGAAGCCAGAGACAAGGGCAGGACATTGTTGCGTAATATTGTAAAGAAAATGTTTGAAAAAGGGTACGTGAGAAATGAGCTGTTAGTCTGATTCATCTCATTATAAATATTTCCCGTGTGTTCGTTGTGACTAAGAAATACTGCAAACGACTTTTTTTTTTTTTTTTTTTTCGCGGGCTCAATATTTCGCGATTTACGTCAAACCTTAAGTTTTGGAATAATTCGCGGGTTCTAAGTTTCGCGACGCAGTGGGATCTGAATATAGATTCCACTGTGTTTACATTTTACTGGAATTGTTCGCGGGACCTACTTTTCGCAAATCGTAAGTGATTCGTGAAGTTCGCGAAAAATAGGTCTTTGTAAAAATTAAATTGTTTACAATATAACGTTTCTGAAAAATTTGTCACACCTCATTCAGTTTGCGTTGGGTGTTTTTCAGATGAACGGAAAATATATGGAACGTAACCTGTACCATGACAAAGAGAAAATGGCGGCGGTTGAGGTGAAGGAGGAGAATGGAGCTGTGGAAGTGGTAAGATACATCTAAGAATGATTTCAATGGTGCACAACTTGAACAAGCACTCATATTGCACCCATTCTGTGGTTCTGTTACGCCACTTGCGACGGCCGCTCTTCTTTCTAGGAGCAAATGAACGTTGCCTTCGACATAAACTTCGGCGCTGGTTGTTGTTTCGGTCACGACGGGTACAAGAACACTTGAACGCGGCGTCAGGTCCATGTCGTCGGCGATAGTTCGGACAGCGGGTGGCGTCGTTCTGGCGTCTTACGGAGCCAGGACAGGCTATCGTAGCGTCAAACAGTTCGATCTAAGTCGATGACTGCTCCGCATTCACGCATAAAGTCCGTACCGAGAATGACGTCTCTTGCACAGTCTTATAGTACAATGAATTTCACCGGGCAAATCTCATCGTGGATTTCGACTCGCGCAGTGCACCTTCCGACGCGCGTGATCAGGTGTCCTCCGGCGGTTCATATTTGCGGGCCAACCCACGGCATCGCAACTTTCCCTAGGCGGCGTGAGAGCTTTCTACGCAAAATGGAGTAGCCCAGGTTGATCTGCACAAGGACCGATGTTTCGTGACCGCCGAAGATGACGTTGAAATTGTTTGGCATCTTTCCAGAATCGTTGTTCCTTTGCCTAGCGTTTTGAGAATGGGCACCCTTCAACGTTCGTGGAGGTTCGTTGCGTCGCTGGTCTTCGGCCACTCTACCTGCAGGGGTTGCGGCGCTGAGTTCCCCAGACGAGAGGCGAGGGGCGAGAAGCTCTCGCGGCGGGGCCTGTGCATTGGCGACGCTGGGTGTCCTGGTGACGGCGACCCGGACTGAGGTCGCCAAAGGTACTCGTCGATTTACCGCAGTCGCTCAGCGTAGCGTGGGCGTGCGTCCTTCGAGCGAAAGCCGCGCAGCCCTACTTGTCGGTAGGGGCAATGGCGGTAGATGTGGTCGGTTTCCCTGCAGTGGCAGCATAGCGGCCGACGGTCGGCTGTTTGCCACATGTCGGTCTCTCTCGGTGCAGGTGGTTCAGGGCGGGCGTACTGGGCCCGGTCGTGTTGGCGTCGATCGCTTTCTTGCGTCGGGGTGTCCCGTCGAGGCGGCGCCGAGTACTGACGCAGCACTACTGGTGGCCTCCTGTCGATTGCGGCGTACGTCACCGGCGGCGTTCCTCAAGTGGTGTTACTGCGTTGATCTGAGAAGTCTGTTCAACGGCTCGCTAGACTTCCTTTTATATTACTTAGGTGATAAAGAGGGAAGCCGGGCGATCGGCAGCAAGCAGCAATCTTCTGAGCTCTTCCCTCATGACGACGCGGATCATCTCTTCAATGTTCGGGAGGAGGCCAGTTCCGGCGTCAAGGCTATAGGCCACACGGGTGTAGGGTCGTTGGGCAGTCGCTGGTAGTGGGCAGCTCGCGCTTGGAAGGCCCACTCGATGTGTGTGGCTCTGTCACGAATGCTTCGACGATCTCAGGCGGGTTTCGCGCGAGGCCCTCGAAGATGCTTTCCTTTAATGCGCACAGGTGAATGTTGAGCTTCTTCGCTCCTGGCTCTTGAGGATCCGCGCGTTTGAATAATGGGAGGACGCCTTTGACGAAACTGAAAACGCTTTCATTTGGCTCTTGAATTCTCATCTGCAGTAGCTCTTTGACGCATTTCTGACGCTGCGGGCTCGCAAAGCAGTGGCGTAGCTGCTCTTTGCACGTTCCTAGGAGGTGACTGACGCTTCTTGATCTTAGAACTGAAGACGGGCCGTTCCATCTAGTGAAAAGTAGTGTTTTGGACGCTTTGATGTGATGTCCATTGGTAGGTGTGTGCCACCCGTCCGTACTCCTGTAGCCAGTCGTTAATGTCTTCGCGAACTTCGTCGCGGAAGAGCGTCGGCGTGCGAGGTACGACTGAGAGGAAAACGACGGGGAATGTAGCTGCAGGGTTCTCGGTCGACTGGCCCTGGGGAAACATCTCTATGTTCGTCGACTTATTTCTTGGTTGATTCACCAATCGACGTCTTCGTACCTCGCACCTCCACCAGGAAGGTCATATATGGAAAAGGATCGACAACTGTAAAAGAAAAAATAAAGATTCAATCGGCGAACTTCTCTCGTTAACAAATGAAAAAAACAAGCGTCCAGAAAGTAGCAAGCGTCGGGGCGTGGCCGTGACATCTCACTAGTGCGAGAGCACGTGAGTGAGTCGGCAATACAATGCTGTGCTCTATATTTATTACACCGGGTATCTAAAAGATTCGGCCTATAACGTTCGAATGCCGAACGATCAGAGACTGACTCGGTAATGTGTGTTGGCCTCTTTATCACACTTGGCATTATTAATAATTATGTCGTTGATATGAGTGAATTAATACAATCACTTATTATCAATTACCTAAGTGTGTAGACAAAATTTACACACTGCCCATCGACATATAATGCTGGTACCGGACATTTCATCGACCGCCAATTTATCGAATAAGTGGACATCTCGAACTTTGACTGAACGTCGTTTCAACAAATCGCTTGACTGCGTTTCATTGAATTTCGCTTTATTGCCTGCTGGAGCTTTACAGTAGTTCTAGACGTTTCACACTTGTTTCGCAAATTGAAATGAAACCGGTCGAATCTCCAAAATTAAAATTACTACCCTTGTCGCTCTTTCACCAATACTTGAGTGGATATGCGACTTACTGTTTTCTGTTATGATTCGCGGTTATTCTACTCTGCACTCCTTGTTTTCTCTTCGTCCCCCCATTTGTTCACGTCTGAAAGGTATTTCTAAAAAAAAGAGTGCATATATTTTCCTTTGCGCTTTTTAAGTTTCTATTAGTACGTTTCCTTTTGCTTCCACTCAATTCAAGGTAAAAAGATTTTTTTTTTTTTTAAATAGGGGTCAAGAAGCCGGCACGTTCACGATACTACCGATTAGAAAACATGAACAAAAGGGAGAAAATATTTATTTGATGCAACATAAAGACAGTTATTTGCTTCTAGGACGGCTCTGTCCTTGTAGCAGGATACCTCTCTTTGACGACGGAGAAACACCCTTGAAGTTCTATACGTTTGTCATTGCACCCGATGATCACTGTTTTACAGACAAGCGACTATGTGCTTGTGTATCTTATTGGCCACATTAACAGCAGAGGTCGTCATTGACTACAAAATGAACATCGAAGCTAAAAAGGGCACAAAATAAAGTTTCCTATTGTTATAGCCACTGACAAGTTAAGGAGAACAGCAGAGGCTTCAGTTATACCAACTCCAGCGGGACCTTTCAACCTGCGACAACGCTTCGGCATCTGGTGCACATCTAGCGTGCGCAGCCAAAGCACGGGGGAAGATGTGGAGCGCGTGTAGGAGTTAGGGCGTACGAAACACACGCCCTGCCGTTCTCACTCTGGGAAAGAAGTTTATAAATCATAATCCTTAATACAACACTGTTATTCTCCCGGTGATAAGAAAAAAAACTATCTTTTTATATCCAGGATTCCGATTGCTGAACTGGGCGGTATTCGGCGGCAGAGCTTCAATGAAAGAGCGTTCGACGAAAACGCATTTGTTGAAATGGCCTTCGATGATAAAAAAGCGTTCGATCTTTCGGCTTTCCAGTATACTTTCCGAAGTATATTTGTAAATTTTTGTTGATCCAATCCTTTCTGCGTAACTTAAATTTGTTTGTTACCTGGATTAACAGGTGACAACAGTTCACACGCGCATACTTTCTAGAACTGGTTGTGCCTTTAGTTACACGATCTATTTATCCAGTTTTCACTCGTTTTCTACACACTCCGAAATTAACTTGTTTATGTGTTTTGTTTTCAGTTATGTTTGTTGTTGAATATCAGCAATTGTCGAAAATCTACCAAAAGAATACCGACTACTCGTGTCCACTAGGGAGTTTATTCCAAGTTTACTCGTATGCTATTACGTGACTTCATAACACATGAGTGTGTTTAAAAACATCCGCAAGTACCAAATCAATCCAGGAAATTACCGATCCTAACACAATTAGTTTCACACCTATTGAAATCATTTGACACCTCCGTCCTCCGCTGCGTCCATTGTTCTTACTTCGAAGAAACATATTTCTGTTTTAATGAATCCCAAAAATATTTTGCGCAGGAGAACAGGGTCGCACCAGAATCACAAAGCTATGTACTAGCGAGTTCATTTATTTCCGTATTTTATTTTTTAAATTTCAACCACTCTTAAATTTAAGCTGTAGTTCAGAAGGTATATATATATATATATATATATATATATATATATATATATATATATATATATATATATATATATATATATATATATATATATATATATATATCAGTAGTGCTTCCGTTAGCGGGCGGAGATATGTGTTCTGAGTCCGAGCTTTGCTGCTGTTACGAAGTGCGTTGATGAAGAATAAAAACTTTCAGCACAGTTTCAAGAAAAAGAAAATTCCCAAAGTTTTTGGACCATATCGGTTCCTTGTTCACAGGCGACCGTCAGGTGTACAGAAAAAGTGCTGCTGATGTAGGCAGGCTGAGTCCTGGTTTTTTGATGATGTGGCAGAGTCCTGAGACGTTTACGGCTCGGAGAGTTCCCGAGGACCTGTTAATGTTTTCTTTGGTTGTCTGCATGGACCAGGGATTCCAGGTGCAGTCGTTTCCGCCAGCGCCGCCTTATGCAGGGGATTTCGCTTATGTCAAAAGACTAGCAGTGACCTGATTCCGATTCGTGTTCGTCGAGGGCACTTACCTTGAACGTAGATTTTTTCATATCGTATTTCTGGCGGTTCCGGGAAATATCTCGTTTCTTCCTTGTAGGATAGCAGAGCAGTCCCCGTACGGGATGCTGTATACGAGGCCTTGAGACATCTCCTTTACCTGTCTTTTCTTTGGGGAGATGGAGTCGGTGACGGATGGGGGAAACCGGCTCGTGAGTCCCCGCGATCCTATGTTTACAAAGGACACATCTGATGGTCTCCCTGACGTACCTCACTTACGACAGGCAGACACGGCTGGAATGAGCCGGGAGCTTGCACATATGGGGCGGCGTAGCTTCTTGTGGATCCTGTTGATGAAACGTTTCGAGTAGCCGTTGCTTTTCTAGAACTGTAGTTTTATTGACAGTTCTTCAAGTCTAATGCTAGAAAAAACACGGCGATGGCTGGTTTGTGCTAACAGCGTGATGGATTGTAAGTCTAACTGCAGAACGGAAGCGTGAAAGCTGTATCTTTCAGTGCATTGTACATCACCTGTTAGTGAGGACTGCTAATAATGTTTGTATAAATGTCGATAGGTAATCATGGTTTGTTCAGTTTATAGATTATTTAAATGTAATTTCCGGCACAATTTTTCCTCTAGCGCCTGGTTCGAATTCGAGAATGCCCTATGTATGTTGCTCGAAGAGAAAACTCTGCTAACGAATGTATCTGTGCGCGCTTAGAAGGAAGTACGTGTTTGAACACCGATCTGTCACCTGCCTCTTGTGTGTGCCTTTTTAAGAGCTTTCATGTGCGGTAGACAACGTATGTTATTTAAGTTACCATTTTGTATTTTTCAGTATTTATGGGTCTTTAAAACGACTGCAGCAATGTATAATAAATAATTAAATAAAGCCTAATATTTTTAATATTATTGGGTATTATTCGCCATTATTAATTTATTTTAGATATTTCTGCTTCAACGAAGTAAGTGAAACTGTCTTGATAGGCATATTTTGACTACTTTTTAATTCTTGAACTCACTAAGTAGTTGAAAAAGTCCTCTTTAAGCTTGCAGAGTGATTGGTATTTCAGTGCGTCTGGAACGCCAATCGCTGGGCAAGCATCAACCTAACACCCTAATGAATGATTGAAAACGAGCGTGTTGGTGAATAGTTACGAATAATTGAAAGAATGAAACATCTAAGACCGGGACGGAAACAGGATTATGAAAGAAGTCCTGTTTTCGTCCCCGTCCTAGACGTTTTATCCTTTCAAGTATTGGTACCCTTATGATTATCGCTAAAATGTTCCCATCTTCGAATTAAAACACTTAGATTTATTTTGGTCAATCGTAATGTAGTTTTTTTTAGAAATTGTATTATCTGAGACGCTTTATGAAGCAAAACTAAACGCAAAATATATTTGCCTAATTCTTTTTCCAGAGTGGTGTCATCAGCGACACTCTGAGGATAGTTCCTCGTCACCTTATGGCTCGAGCTGAAGACGGGTCCATCGCACACAAGATTTTCGAAGTGGATGCACCAGCTCAGCGTGGACATGACTACATTGGTAATTAGCCGAATCTATTCATTTATGTATATTAATGTCTGTGTGTATAACTTTAACACATGTACTGCAGACATCTTGGGGTGCACGTGTTAAAATATAAATGTGTCTAACATGTTTTTTTTTGCAATTTGACATTTTATTGGTTAGGTTACTGTCAAGTGACAAAAATAATTAAACACATACTGAATTATTCGTGCATAAAATAAGATTAGCACATCTGCACTAATCTGTTGTTTTAAGTACTCGGAATAGTGAAAAGACTTACAACGTACTTACCTTACGTCGGGCTTTGACTGAAACAATCGACGAACATATCGTGACCAAAAACGTCCTATGATTTCTAGCTTCAACTGGACTTCTGAAACACTTCGTTCGATACCTTTCTTTTTAACTATTGTTAAGATGATTACAACCATTTTGAGCAAGTTCCGGATGTTCCGTAGCAGGGAAGGATTATAAGGCGACGCCACCGAAGTATCGTTCTTTGAGTTCTCGAGCAACTATCTTTTCACATTTCGCGTGTCTAGGACTCACATACACAGCACACTGGGATTTTGTGGGAGTCTAGTAATGCTTACTACAAGTCTGTTAAGACTCGCTTAGGTCGTTAAGGACAGCAACTCTAGTACGCTGGCATGAAGCTTATAGTTAAGTTTTAAACGACCATTGTTTTAGGTACGCAGCGAAAATAATTTAGATATGTAGCTTACTAAATAATTATGACCGCACCGAAAAGTGCATGGTAAGGTCTCGTTCATGCATTTGCGTTATGCAACGCAGATTGTTTAGAAAGTTAACACACACCAGTCTTGTACACGTTACTAAAAAAAGATAAACGATTACAATTACTATTACTCTTGGCTAAAAAGTATTCGATTAGATTACTTGGTTACTCTACGGCAAAAGTAATTCGACATTACTTAAAGAAGCAATCGTTACTTTTCCGATTACTTTATTGTGGGAAGACACATCTTTAGCGCTCATAACAATGAGCTACTTCCAACCTATATTTCACATTTGCACAAGTATTGAAGAAGAACAACTGGCTCCCTCTTCGTGGTCGTTGCACCTTCACAATGCGGACACAAGCATAGAATTCGTTTGAAGACGTTTAATGATTTGGGCGTTCGCCAGTGTGTGTGTGTGCGTGTGGGGGGGGGGGAGCGGAGGGGGTTCTATAGTCGGTTACAAGTTAAGAAGGTAGTAGAAGTCCCTCCCCATAAGCGTGATGCGCCCGCTTCAGACGCCTCCGCAGTTGAGAAGATAGTTCGCTGAAAACGCCCCTTCTACTTCAATGGATGGATATTGACTACAGACAGACCTTGTAGCGGGCGGCAGCTTGCGCCACCTAGCCGAGGCAAATTACTCGCTCCGGAAGGTTGACGTAAAAAGAAGGCTTCAGTGCAACGAAAATTGTAACTTTTATAAGTAATGCATATATGGTTGTTGGTTTTAGCTTGATAACCTTCCTACTCGAATTAGGTACATTCCGTGTATTTTCTACGTTTGTTAAAAAAAAACCTGCGTTTCGGGTTTTGAAAGTTTCTGCGATTCGCGTTTTAACAATGCCGAAGTCGCCGTTTTCCGTTATGAATCCCAACGTGGAGACAGCGGAATGCGATTCCTCTGATTCTTCTTCGTCAAGAGAGTCTGGTGCAGCCTCGCCGCCTACGCCAAGGCGCCTCTACAAAAAGCATAAGAGCGGCGATGTCCTCAACCGAGCTGCACGGCAGCTGATAATGAACGCGTACGTTCAGGTGCGACACGAACCGCCCGCCAAGCCCGGCCAGCCCGGCCTCACTGTGGAGGAGTCCTGCATCAAAGTCAGCAAGCTGCTTGGCGTTGGTGTACGCACCGTCCTCGAGATTAGGAAGCAGGCGAAAGAAACCGAGGGACAAGTTGTGACACCTTCTCGGAAGCGCCCAGCAAGTGAAGGCAAGAGGCGGCGCAAAGTCAGGTACGGCGAGTTCACGTTGTGCGCGCTAAGATCGTGCGTCCACCGTTTCTTTCGACGGAACGAGGTCCCCACGGTCAAGAAGATAACGGCCGAATTCTGCGCGAGCACTGAACTTCCCTCGTTGAAGGCTTGGACTGTGCGTCGCCTTCTCCACGACATCGGATTCGAGAATGACAAGAGGGAACGAAACTCCCGGTTGATTGAACGAGAGGACATAGTCGCCTGGCAGCAGAAGTACCTGCATGAGATCGCACGTCACCGACAAGATGGTCGGAAGATCTTCTACTTGGACGAGACATGGGTGACAGCAGGGCACACTGTCTCAAAGGTTTGGGTAGACACGACAGTGGCCTCGTCTCACGACGCCTTCATGCGTGGTCTCTCGACTGGCCTCAAGCAGCCATCGGGGAAGGGCCAGCGTCTTATTGTCACCCACATCGGCAGCGATGAAGGCTTCGTCGACGGCTGCCTGGACGTGTTCCGTGGACAAAAAACCGGTGATTACCACGAGGAGATGGATGGCGCCCGCTTCGAAAAGTGGTTCGACGGTGTCCTCGACAAACTGCCGACAGGAAGCGTTATCGTCATGGACAACGCTTCTTACCATTCACGGCGGTTGGAAGCAGTGCCGACGACGAGTTCCCGGAAGGACGACATCCGACAGTGGCTGACGTCTAAGAAAATTTCATGGGACCCCAAGATGGTGAAGAAGCAGCTGCTCGACATTGTGGCCTTGGTGAAGCCACAGCACCTAAAGTATCGTGTGGACACTGCTGCCGAGACAGCTGGCTGCACTGTGGTCAGGCTCCCACCGTATCACTGCGAGTTCAACCCCATTGAACTGATATGGGCGCAGATCAAGAACGGCGTTGCTGCCCGAAACACGATGTTCAAGATTGTCGACGTGGGGAGACTCCTCAACGAAGAAGTTGACAAGGTCACCACTGACAACTGGATTAATGCTGTCAGGCACGTTATTGACATTGAAGCAACGTTCCGACGAGGCGGTGCCACAAGTGCCCACATCCAGCCCATCGTCATCCAGCTGGATGGAGAGGACACCCCATCCGAGAGTGACCTGTCTGGTGTCGAGCCCCTTGACGAAGCTTAAGGCCACCATTATGGAGAAAGCGTGGAACATCTCGGAACACAAAACGGTCCTTTTAAGGACCACTTATTTGATTTAAGATCGGATTGTTGTTCTTGACCACCACTAACCTCCCGTGTCTCATGTTGTCATGCTTCTCTGCTCGTTGCCGAATAGCATTTCGATATGCAGCCACCAGACAAACTTTTTATTTTTGTTGCGATAATGTCTAAGCTGGTCTATACATTGCACTGTGCCATAAATCATTAGTATAGATTTCAACTTCACGAAAACAAAAGTTTGCAGCCCATCTACGGCAAAGACATCAGATGCCATATTGACCCTTCCCGCTGTCTAAAGATCTTTGCTACGCAGCAAATGGAATTTTGATTGCAAATAAGCTCTTTTTTGTCTAAGAAAAACGACACAACATATCACTGCCAGTGCTCTGCTTTAAAGCATAAATGGGACGTCTGTGGCCATTTACATGACAGGCTTCTGGGAATAACAAAGCCGTGTGTTAGCACAGTGGAGAGCGAAATCGCAGTACCAGTACTCTGTTTCTAAGTCTAAAGGGAACGCCTATGGTCATTCACATGACCGAGGCCCCTCTGAAAACAACAATAATGTGAGCCAGCACTGTGGGAAGCTAACTCTTAATGCCAATGACCTGTTTCGAAGCATAAACTGGACGTCAGTGGCCATTCACATGACCGAGGCCACTCTGAGAATAACAATAACGTGCATCAGCGCTGCGGGCAGCTAACTCTAACTGCCAGTGACCTGTTTCGAAGCATAAACTGGACGTCAGTGGCCATCCACACGACCGAGGCCACTCTGAGAATAACAATAACGTGCATCAGCGCTGCGGGCAGCTAACTCTAACTGCCAGTGACCTGTTTCGAAGCATAAACTGGACGTCAGTGGCCATCCACACGACCGAGGCCACTCTGAGAATAACAATAATGTGCATCAGCGCTGCGGGCAGCTAACTCTAACTGCCAATGACCTGTTTCGAAGCATAAACTGGACGCCAGTGGCCATCCACACGACCGAGGCCACTCTGAGAATAACAATAACGTGCATCAGCGCTGCGGGCAGCTAACTCTAACTGCCAGTGACCTGTTTCGAAGCATAAACTGGACGTCAGTGGCCATCCACACGTCCGAGGCCACTCTGAGAATAACAATAACGTGCATCAGCGCTGCGGGCAGCTAACTCTAACTGCCAGTGACCTGTTTCGAAGCATAAACTGGACGTCAGTGGCCATCCACACGACCGAGGCCACTCTGAGAATAACAATAACGTGCATCAGCGCTGCGGGCAGCTAACTCTAACTGCCAGTGACCTGTTTCGAAGCATAAACTGGACGTCAGTGGCCATCCACACGACCGAGGCCACTCTGAGAAAAACAATAACGTGCATCAGCGCTGCGGGCAGCTAACTCTAACTGCCAGTGACCTGTTTCGAAGCATAAACTGGACGGCAGTGGCCATCCACACGTCCGAGGCCACTCTGAGAATAACAATAACGTGCATCAGCGCTGCGGGCAGCTAACTCTAACTGCCAGTGACCTGTTTCGAAGCATAAACTGGACGTCAGTGGCCATCCACACGTCCGAGGCCACTCTGAGAATAACAATAACGTGCATCAGCGCTGCGGGCAGCTAACTCTAACTGCCAGTGACCTGTTTCGAAGCATAAACTGGACGTTAGTGGCCATCCACACGTCCGAGGCCACTCTGAGAATAACAATAACGTGCATCAGCGCTGCGGGCAGCTAACTCTAACTGCCAGTGACCTGTTTCGAAGCATAAACTGGACGTTAGTGGCCATCCACACGTCCGAGGCCACTCTGAGAATAACAATAACGTGCATCAGCGCTGCGGGCAGCTAACTCTAACTGCCAGTGACCTGTTTCGAAGCATAAACTGGACGTTAGTGGCCATCCACACGT